AATCATTATATTGGAATTATTATCCTACCTAAAATACAGAAAAATAAAAGATTATAAGATGAACGATATAAGATAAGAAAAGATGCAAGAAGTAAAGTAATAAAAGTAAGTACATAAAATATATGTTAAATGGGCATAGACAAAAAAAAAACAAAAAAGTTCACTTCGTTAAAATTAGAGAGCAAACACACTATATATTCTGTCGTAGTTGATACGAATCAGCTGCCTTGTTGTATTAATTTGCCGTTTGGACTCTTTAATATTTGTATCACCGTACGTTTAAATTTTAATTTTAACTATTTTTCAATTCCACCCACATTTAGGTAATTAGTCGTGACGCAACTTTTGGACGAGCAAAGAATTAAGGTTAACTAGATTTCCCGTTCTTTTAGGGATGATTGTTTTTAAGTGATTTATTCATACATAATTAGAGGAGGCTCCATCCTTAATTTACCTTCGTTTAATTTAAGAAAAAAAACTTAAAATTGTCTTGTTACGAATATTTTACAAGCTTATATTTAATTTTCAGTGTATGTAAGTATGTTTGCTGAATCTTGCAACTGAGTTCTAACTCAGTTATCGTCAACCGATGACGACTGGGTGAATAATGTAATGAATGATTAACTAAATTAATGTAAATCTAATTGATTGATTGAATATTCTTTATTGCACTATGAAATACAGTGGAAAGGTACATAAAACTAGATACAGTAACACAAAAGGCGGCCTTATTGCTAAGATAGCAATCTCTACCAGGCGACCCTAGGCTAAAGGAAATGATACCAAATATAATAACCTGCGGGTTAGTGCATTAGGTGAAACATCACATGAGAACATTCTAAATGCATATAGTCTTAATAAATAAATAAACAAAACACACGATAATAAAGTAATAGAGTGCAAGTCCAAGAGTTGCTTGAGAAAATATTCTTTTATCAATTCATAAATGAGTTCCGTGACTGCGCTCGTCTTATATCTATAGGCAGAGAATTCCATAGTTTGATTGCTTTAATTGAAAATGACTTGGCTACAAAATCAGTATTGTGGGAAGGGGTAACTAAAGATAAATTATAGGAAGACCTCAGATCTCGGGTAAGATTCGGAGAGAGAAAGATGATGCGCTCTATGAGGTAATGCGGTGTGTGTAGTGGAAACAGGATGGAATATAGGAGTGATAGGATATGACAGTCTCTTCTGCGAGAGATAGGTAGCTACTGAAGTTGTGTTCGATAATGTAAAGTAATATGATCGTACTTACGTAGAACTGTATTAAAGTATGTGTAATCTATACTTAATATAAAACATAGTCGCTTCCCGGATTTAAGGGTAGTGTTATGTATAATACAGGACCACGCGGTTTAAGTCGCTGCCCGGTGGAAAGCTACTATATAATAAATAGGAGTTATGTCAATATAATATGTAAGCACTAATTGTTGTGAATAAATAAATTAACTATTTTATTCATTAAAACCCCAAGCTTTTTATCGAGATCCTGTTTTTTATTATAATCGTGCGATATAAATAACAATACAGTGTTAAAAAATCATTTTTAGTTTCGGCGCAATGAAGTGTTACTGGTATTTTACCCACCTGTTAGATCTTATGTTATTTTTCTGTTCTACGCCCCCCTATTTCTGTATATATGTTGGTTATACATTTACTTTTATTATTTTTTCGTTAGATTAGGTATGATTAGGTTCTCAATGCGACTTTTTTTCTGTTTTTTGCCTCATAACTTTTTATTGAGTGGATCGATTTAGATGATTCTTTTTTATTTGAAATCAACTACTTTCCGTGTCGTCCCATTTCAATTGGTCCAGATCTGGCAATGGCATCTATGAATAAACCACATAAGTCTAAAAATTTGCATCAAGTATGCGTGATGTTTGTTACCTCAAAAATTTTTACAGGGTGAATCGATCGTATTGCTTCTTTTTTTTTATTTGAGAGCTGGTGCTTCCGTTGTGGTCCCATTTCAATTTTCAGCAAAGTATTTGTCAAACTTAGGAGAAGTTTTTGGTATATTAATAGACTAAAAAATGTAGGTTCACACTTTAACACGGTTTTGACGTGGTTTTCGGAAAAGTATTTTTAGTGTTACCTATTCTATAAAAATATCAATATTACTAAAGCACGATATAAAAAAAAAAAAAAAAATAGAACCGAATTCAAACTTAAAAAACTGAAAAATAATACTTATCTCAAAGGCGACTTACTCAAGAAAATGCTATTGAAATCGAGCGCCTATAACATAATTAATAACCTACAGAAAACCTTTTTCTTAGATAATAGTTGATTTCATGTAGGTTGTATGAAAATAAAATATGCTGTATATTCAAAAGCACAGCAAAGCAGTTATTGAAATATGGACGTTCTGAATGCATAGTCTCCAGTAGGTATACACAGGATCCTCAGAAGCTCGTCATCGTCAATGTTACTCTGACTGCTCTATCGAAAAAATTCGTAATCCGAAAAAAATACCGAATGTGTGTGCCTTCTGAATTAATAACATGAATTCATAGAGTTGTTCCGGCTGTTTGAGGTGACTCTCTGAATACGCCCGGAAATAAAATCTATTTTTTTTATAAACAACAAGAAATGGGAAAAATATTGAATTTAAAAGGTTAACTTCGTGATTTTTGAGAAATTTTCATGAATTCACTTTGGGTTTTGACAGAACCTTTAGAAGTAAGCAGTGTTTCGGACGTGTATGAGATTGGTGTACGCGCCCTCTTAAGTCACCATCCACATACAGTTACTGTAACCAGTAACAATGTGCCCTTCTACCCAATTCATGAACCCATTCGAAATTACTTAGAAAGAAACATTATTCGTATTCGTTAGTGTGTAACTGTATTATATCCCTACCTACCGACTTGATTAAACCTGACTTTACATTAGACCAACAATTGTATTATATTTGTGACGTGACTATTCTTAATAAGTATACCTACATTAATTTTGCCATTTATGCCACGATAAGTTTGTCAAGCGTGGAATTCACCAAATCATAAAGTTTTAATAATTTGGTGAATTCCACGCTTGACATTTTTAATAGTAAACCGACTACTTTCAGACAACGTCTGAGTAGTGAATGGTTTGATGCGATTCCTTAGCTAAAGGTAGTCCTTAGTTTTCCCTGATTGTTCCTTATATGTCTTATATATATATATATATATATATATATATATATATATTTTGTAGAATACATATATATATATATATTGTTAATTTAAATAAGTACATAAGTGTCTATATGCGAAAACTGCTTACTATGTACATTTATATCATATTTAGTTATTACATAAGTTATATCGTTACTGTATGTTTTCCAAAGAAAATAAAATAAAATAAAATAAATAATTTAAGATACAATTTTGAAAAAGTGGCATTTTTAATTGGAAGTATGAATAAAATAGATTTTTGTTGATATTTAAAACATTGCTAGTGGTTTGGAAGCCGCTAGGTAAAGTTTATAGAATACATTAATATTTTAAATTGTTTAGGATACCTGCATTTTAATGATTAGGGCAGATTACCGTGGGCTAAGGGTATAAAAAAGCAAGGGTTTGCGATAGATTGCGCTTTATCAAATTTCTTACGTAACTTATAAATTCGAAACAAATAAAGGTTTGAATGATTAAATGCAAAAACTTAGCCAAACCCGTCGAAAGATTTTAGTTAGATCTCAACCCTTTTTTGACATTTCTCAAAAACTTTGAAAATAATGTTTGCGTTAAAAATTTGCCTTAGACAATTCCATTTAACGTGAAATTAACGGTATAAACTGTTATATGTTACTGAACAGTAATAACAGTTGATTTTAAACTGTACCCATAAAAATAAAAGTTTGAAACTAAGTTAAGAGGACTAAACAATTTCTTAGGCTGTTCAGGTAGATTATCTAAAATAATTATAGCAACAAAAGTAATCAGTCTCATTTAATCAAAAGGTAGCTCAATTGATAGAACAGTTGCCCGGTTATTCGATTCCAGTCTCATCTGACACGTTGAATTTCTTTTACATGATAAAGGTGTTGTTTATTTTTTCTTTGTAATGTACAGGGTTGCCGTCGGACAGCTTTTCATAGGAATTCATACATAGTAATCGAGTATAAATATATCTAGAATTGCAAGGCTCTTAACTAAGCTTTATATAGAACTAATTTAAAGATCACAGAGAGTAGTGAAATCACACATCAGTAAATGTTTACGTATTCATCCTATTTTTATTATAAATGTGAAAGTTTCTTTGTTTGGATGTTTGGATGCTTGTCCGTCAATCACACCGAAACTACTGAACAAATTTTGATGAAATTTGGCATACAGATAGGGTATTAGCTGACTTAGATAATAAGATACTTTTTATCCTACTAAAAATTTCCCTCCACCATGCGGGCGAAGTCGCTGGCGAAAGCTAGTCTATAATATATAAAGCTTAATTTAAAATAAAGTTGAACACTCCGTGGTTAAACTTCATTATAAATGATTCTTCATTGAACATACAAACTGTCGAATTCAATAAAATTTTAATAAATAATGGTACTTATTATTAATGAACACAAAGTTCAGAATTAATAAATGCGTAGCTTCGTCGTGTATCTTTGGACTTTTTAGATTGATTGGAAGCGTTGTAATCAATACGTCAAATATGGTGTCAACTGTTTATCAAAATTATTACACAACTGAATAACTGTAAAAGGGAATTGAACAAATTTTGAATTTTTAAACAGTTGTTTTTGCCAAAAATACCAGAATTTAAAAGACTTGAACTTTTGCGAAAGGTTTAATATTGATTGGTATACACATATTCATAGTATTGAGTTTCTGTGATTTAGGACACCAATAGTATCGATAATATTATCACTAAAATAAATGCTTCCAATCGATAGCTTTTAGTAGAATTGTGGCATTTGCATTTATCTCAGTTTGCATTAACATGTCAATAAAAAACAAGTTTCCAACACATAAAAATAACATGAATTTTTTTTTTTCAGAAATATGTCCCACAATTGGCTCATCTTCACATTCTCATGGCTCGGCACGGTCAGTCCACAGTACATCAACACGGGGGGTCCTGCTGCAGAAACAGTACTCGATCCCCTAGACTCGACGCTGCACTACCCTTTACCATACGTCCATTATTTTAATTTACAACCATCACGAGTCGACGAGCCCTACCAAGGAGAATTGCAAAGTTACAATCAGTTCTATCAACACGAAGAAAAAGAGCAACCTCCCGATCTACAACGGAAAAGACGCACTGCTCAAGAAGGCGAGGAAGAAAGAACTAGACGTTGGCTCCCAAACTTGGTAGACACAGATCAAACAGCGTATCTGAAAAACGACGAAAATATGTTGGCCAGCCCGTTTATATTAGGGTTTTCAGGCTCCATCGAAGATAATGCCACCGATATAATGAATATTTTAGATCCGAAGGAAAAAAAGAATTTCAGCCCTTGGGGTGGGAAAAGGAGTAAAGCTAGCGTCGAGCACATGTGGACTTGGAAACGATCGGCCAATGTAAGAGAGCCAAATATGCCGAAAAGGGTGCGGTTTTCGCCGTGGGGCGGTAAACGGTCGGGACAAATGATCCTTAAACCTGGTGCCAAAGGATCGAAGTTAATATTCTCCACGACAGTGCCAGAGCTAACTCGGATCGTATCGAATTTCTCGCCCAACGCAAAGAGTTTTGATTTAACGGGTTACCAGTTCATACCATCACTGGACAAGAGGCATCCTATCAAGATATTAGCGCTGAGTACCAAAGTAGATGAAAAAACTTTGAGAGAAGCTCTTCCATTTAGGACGTTCCTGGAATCTTTGCCGAAAATCTTTAAGCCCGGACACCCGTATGTAGATGTGAACTTGAAGAAAGATGGCAAGAGGAAAGTAAAGTTTAGTGCATGGGGCGGGAAGAGATCGCCACCTATAATAGGACCTATCTGGACCCCTGCTCCTCAAGATGTTAAGGAATCGACTCTCAACACGATACTTTTGCTAAGGAACCACGACAACGATGAAACGACAAAAGCTTTTTAAAATGGAACCCATTAAAATTAGACTAATTTTAGTTTACGTAACTCCTGAACTTTAATAAAGTTTAATATTCTTCTGGTCATGACATGAATGGTAACGCTTAGATGTAGCTTGTTATAGTGCCATAATAAATGACGACTAACAAATTAAATTAAATTATAAAAATATTATATAACTATAAGGTCGGGAGTTACGCCGTCTTTGACGAAAATGGCTGGGTTCGTCAAAGACATTATCGAACTGAAATATAACTCATAATGTTGTTGATAAGTTATGGTATTTGTTACATTATCTTATGTACGTGCTAAATTACTAGCGAGACATTAAATGGTAATAATTTTATAACTTCTCATTTATTTCATAATATTGATGGTGAAAAAGGAGCGTACGTATTCGCAGTTATTAGCGATAACAAACTTTAGAAATCTTAATAATATAATAACCAAATATGTTGATCGTCGAGAAAATATAAATAAATAGATATTTTATGTCTAAACTGAAACTGAAGTAGCTACCGAAGAATATCTACTTAACAGTACCTCGTCCATAGAATTTCCCAAGTATTTTTTTAAAGAGCAGAGGCATCCTGATGGTCAGTATACACCTATATAGGGTTCTTTGCAAAAACCAACATTCAAACAGGACTAGCTACAACAACAATGTAGTTTAACCTATGACTTTAGAAAAGTGGTTACAATTTGATTTTATATAAAATTTATATAATTTAGTATCTAATTTGTAGGTACTTCACACAACACACAAGCGTAGAGGCTTCCTATCGTTATAAATAAAACAGAAAATAATAACTAGAAAAGTGTTTTCTTATTGAAATTATCGAGTCATAGTTAAACTCGTAGATCAAACGTTGTTGACTATCATGTTCCAAAACAAGGTTGCTAGTGTTTTATGAATAATCTTGAAATAACCCTGTATAAGAACGTCTCACTTGGGATTACAAGTTTTTCATCGCATTTTAACCAAATGTGCTCAATTTATTACATTTAGGACGATCTGTCTGCCTACACTGCAAGGCAGTTTTGTGTTTTGTGTATTACGTAGGCGTCCTACACACCTAGTAAAATGTACTGCAAGTCAGTGGGTCCTAAGTGGGCGGAGGGTACGAGCCAATGTTCCTATTTTGTCTTAGACTAAAAACAATTATAGTTTGTTTTTGCATAAGTTTCAAATTTAGTTCTAGGAACCTATTTTGAAAAGTAAAATTAAACTTATTCAGTTATGCGTAGGTATTAATAATATAACCAACGTAAAAAGGCGTCATTCATTTAAAAGACTCTTTCCTACTGTTATGAAATTTTTTGTTAATTTTTTCCTTCAGATTCTTAATAATCTTAACTTTGACGATTTTTATAATTTTACATAAGAAGTGTTATGAAGAAAAAATAAGACTGTTCGACGACATCTATACATGATTTTTTTTTCAGAAAAGGGGAGCGATCGCTTAGTAGGAAAAATAAGATTAAGCATTTTCGCGTATATATGTATACCAAACTCATTATTTCAAAAGAGCACGTAGGTATTATTACTAGTAAGAATTAATTCGTTTATTTTCTATTAGTTGATACGACTAAGTAGAATCTGGCACTGCCTCTGATGCACAGATAATCTTCACGTATATGGTTTTAACATAATTATAAGAACGATATGTACATTTTTCGAATTTTCAAGGGCAAATAGAATAGGCCCGAGAAAAACCTAGGTATTTGACGTAGAGAAAAAAATAATCTCATTAGAAAATTAGAATTCTGAGCCCTTTTAATTACTGTTACAAAATACCAACTTATATTGAAAGGCCTAATTTTCTAACTTTCTTCCCGAAGGCGGTACGATATGCAGTTGCCAAGATTTCTTCAGCGAAATATAGTAAATTGTTTAAAAATAAGTTTAAAAAATATAGTACATAAAATAAAAATAGTACCTACTTACTTTAAATTCAAACATTAAACTCAACATTAACTTATAAAAATGTGTTATAATATACACGCTATGAGATGAAAGTCACTTTTACTTCAATGAGCTTATTGGCTTAGAATATATAATCTAAGCTTATTGGAAGCACTTTTGAATCGTTAATTTTTTTTCTACCACACCACTCAGGACGCCTTTTGGCTAAGAAGACGAACGAACATAAGAAAATTAGCAGTTCTTAACCAAATATAGACATTTATCTATCTATAAGCCATCTAATATAATTAGGGGCCTTAAATAAATGAAGGAACGTAAAAGAATACTTTCGTACTGTAAATATAAGTAGTACGTCCGTTAAGGTTTAGCGACGACTTTTAATATCAGAATGAATGTTCTTAATGTCAAACCAATTACAATTTTAGGGATATATATCAACGCAGACCAACAAAAACCAATTCTCCTTACTGATGGTAATTTCTCTTATTGGATGGATAAAGTGCCTTTGCATATTGTTTTGTGTAGGGATTTATCATATAAAAAAGACATTATATCTAAGATAAAAACAAAGAGTGTTGCAAAATGATTCAATACTGAGACTCAAAATTAATCACAATAAAAATCTGGAATACTTATGTGTACCAAATAAAGAAACAAAAACAGTTTTAGTTCAAGTAATATACATTTTTATTATGTAAACAGATTTTACATCAAACTCATAAACTATAGTTACATCACTTACTTACACAAGGATTAATAATAATAGTCCATACTTAACAACATATTTTCATATTATAACCAAATGGATAGTTTGCCATCATATTACAAAAATATATTCTATTTCACAACTAGAACTTAATTCAATGTCCTTGTTAGAAAATGTTTATTGAACAATATCCTGAACAGGTAACCAAATATTTTTTTATCAATAACAACTGATGTATTTAAGCCAAGAAGGAACTAGTTCAAGTACTTATGCCAATACCTTATTATGTAATAATAAATGACCAAGAAGAAACAGGTAATTATTAACTAGTCTATGTTCATTGCTTTTTATCAATTATTATTACCATATAATTAACTTTATGGCTATTATACTTATAACTTACTAATATTGTGATAAATAAAATTGAAAACTTTCTAATATTTTGAAAATTAAGGCATTTATTGTTTTTAAAATAATAAGACAAAGTTAGTGATAATAAATATAACTGATGCTCCTGAATATAATGTAATAGAACTTTAAGGTTAAAACAAGGTTTTTAAATTCTTACAAAAATGTGAGCTGATTCGATTCATTCATACATAAACATACGGTCACTTATTCTCCCCTTAGTCATACTAAGTTTCTAGAAATTTAACCAGTCCTCAGGATCAGGTGATAACCAGAATCAGTCTCAACTGGCTTACTCAACTGCCCGACTTTCAGTTTAAAAGCTTCTTCTTCAAAAGGAGCTTGCATCTGACCACGTCCAAATGATCCTAAGTCACCTCCACGCTTAGCAGAAGAACAGTCAGAATACTTAGATGCTATGTCGACAAATGATGAATCGTTGCTCACAATTTGTTTCCGGTAACTCTTTAGTGTATCTAAAGCTTCTTCTTTGGTGCGAGTGATTGTTTCCTCACGCCACGATGAGGGGCGACGACTCTCGGAGTGTTTCACAAGGATGTGGCTGCAGCGTATCTCTCCAGGATCAGCTGGAACTTCTGGCCGCTCCCATTGAGATTTCTTAGTGTAAGTATTGAGGTAGTATGACATACCAGTGGACCGACTTGTTCTCATTTCCCAACCTTCTGGCAATGGAGCATCTTTTTCTTCGGACATTCTGGAATGTGCGATGAATATTTGTGGAGTCACATAATAACACTTAATATACACAAAATATCAGACGTTTTTAATTTAGTTGTTTATTGCAGATATAAAGCAGTGTTTATATATTTTTAATAAATTAAGATATAAGATTAGAGGTGTGCGTATATTGTCTATTGTTTTCATAACAAGAAATAATTACCTCTAACAAATGTTTCGCATATCATGTTATTATAAATTGAAAACGTAACCTTTTTCACCATCAATAACAAATAGATAAGTAATAATTTAATATTATTATCAATATCAATTTTATCCTAAGATAACCTTACAAATTTAATGTTAAAAGTATGCAAAATTATGGTGTAATTTACCTGACTTGACTGCTTCCACGCTATGTACTTTCGTTTACACTACTTCAATAAATAGAAAATTGGTTTCTTAACTTTTTAAATCGATCAAAAGAATAAAACACAACACAATTCGAAAAACCGACGCCGTTTTGACTTTATCACGTTTGACACTGACAGTTCGACATTTGACAATTGGCATTGATATCTATGGCGAAAGTTCTTCTTCTTCTTCTTCTTTTTTTATTAATGGCATATCTGCAAATTTCACACAATTTTGCCAATGTCAAGTGAATAAATTAATTCCTACATGTAAAATGAAAATGAAATTAATGAAAGATTAATTAAAACATTAGTATCTTTCATGGCGAAAGTTCTTGAAATTATACTAGATGTCACTCGTGATGTTTGGAATGGGATTTTGTTTATGATATTCATTCAAATTTTGTTTCTGACGTTATAAAAGTAAATTGAGTATCGAAAATTAATAAATATGACATCGTTTTGTTTCTTATAATATCGAACTTTCAAAACAATTTTCATTTATTTTAATCGTAAGTTTAAGTTGTTTATTATGTTACGTGTAAAGTAACGATGTTTGGTTTATATGTTAACATTAGTGACGAGCCAAATTATTGGTTGCTCGTAACTTTCATATGAATTCAGGTTTGGAATTAAGAACAAAAAGCTGAGCGCAGAATTCAGCTTGTATTTGTATGAGTCATTATGCATCCACAAAACGAATGACATTAATATAAATATCAAAATCAATTCAGTCTTGGCTGTTACATATTATTTGTGAAAGTCGGAAACTTGCGGAAGATCTCGTACTGACATTTGTGAAAGTCGGAAACTTGCGGAAGATCTCGTACTGACAAGAATCGGCATGAAACTCAGTAAGGGCTGCTTTTTTAATTTCAACTATACTTTATTTGTGGAAACGTAACGACCTAACGCACACGACACCACCGCAGAGATTTTTAGAGAGCATGACTACTCTAGGTACTCAGGAAATATTATATTACAATAAAACTGATTTCTAGAGTACGTTGTGTAGGCAGTCAATCTATTATTAACAATATTATTGTAAGAAGCAAAAATCACATACCACCGTACTAATTAACTTAACACATGGCTCGACATCCGCCGTCGACATGCAAGAGCAGTAGCAATAGTATAATAACTGTACGTGTCTTTGTGATTTTGAAATTTAAAGTTATAACCTTGCTGTTCGTTTAGAACAGGCGTTTCTTGTTGATTACTGAATGTTTATTAAGATGATTCAATTACGAATATAAGATTTAATAACTGATCATAGTTTTTTAAAGTCTTAATTTTGAAAGCACAAATTATGTATTTGCACGTTACACTTTGCACAAACGTCATTTTAGCCAGAAGTCAAGTTATTTTGTACGAATACATAGTATATTTGATACTTATCGGGTAAGTATATAGATAATAAACAGATTTTAAATTATAATTATCATTTTTATGACTTTTCTTGCTGATTAATGAACCCTTTTCATCCTTTCACCATATATAAAATAAAAATATTATTGAGACTTGATGTACTTTAGTTGATGTAAGTTCAACAAACAACTAATAGCAATAAAACTAACTTACCTAGTTGTTATTGTTGTTTTCAGAACTTTTGTTAAATATTATAATGAAAAATTTCTAGACCTACTATGGCATAAGTATTTTATTTATAAAAACTCGATCTAGTTACATTTCAACTCGATATTAATCCGAGTTATCAGATCCATAACAACACTGAAAATCCTATTCTCTTTGGTTTAGATCCAACAATCTGTGCTGCCATCTAGGGACATAAAAAAATGCAGTTTCTTTATTTTTTTTAAATACTTCCTCATTTGCAAAATTCCAAACTTAGATATCAATACAAATACGAAAAAGTACAAATAGAATATGAGTTGTTTATTGATTTTTGAAAATTATTTTACTTTTAAATATGAAAAAACCGGAAGGTTTGTCATGGAGAAATCGAAATAGTATCATAGCGACATTTAGTTTGATTTCGGGAACTAGTTCTTTTTAAATAATTCCTCATTAAGAAAAACAAATCTATTGTTTTAAGATTACAACTCAGACACCATCTATTGGTACTGTACATATACTTAATGGTTACATGACTACTATAAAGTAAAGCCATGTAAAGCCTCCCTCTTTGTGGAATATTTATTTTACTTGAAAACCCTACAGAGACATCTATCATTGCATTAGGGAACTATTATCAATACTTCAGACCACTTCCTTTCGTCACAGTGTAATAAGAATCACGTTGGACCATGCAAAATATAAAGATGACTCTGCCTGTTGATAAACGATTCGAGGACTAGGTTTCTGGAAGGCTTCTAAGGTTCTCGATTTCGTTTATCTATGGCCGAGTGATCAGGGGTGGTGTGTAACGTTCTATTCCAGTCCCTTTAACCATGGAATACGATATGTTAGTGATGAAGTAGCGATATTTTGTTATATATTATTACATCGACATGTCTTATGGTGGATAAACGAATAGATATAAAAGTTGGTAACACTATTGTCAGACTCGTTATCATCATTCCTCATCATTTACTAGCTTTCCGCCTGCGGCTTCGCTCGTGTAGTCCTGTATCTTACATATAAACCTACCTCTTGAAGCACTCTCTTTATAGATAAAAAACTAGAGATGTAAGGGCAATTGTGCACTACACTGAATTTTCAGGTCCGGCGGTCCAATTTATTCCGGTCCGGAATGACATGAAAAACCCGGATGAGTAGCTTGTGCACTTGTCCGTTTTTTTCCTGATCGGAGATTTTTGAAACGTCAGTAATTGCTTTCTTTGTTACTCTACGGGCGAAGATGTAGAAGACAGAAAAAATATTGGGTTCATTCCCTTGTAAGTGAAAGGTACCTAAATAATGACCTGACAAGGTCATTTTACATAAACCATAATAAATTGAGGCAAAACGAAAGCATTTTTTTTACTACTATCGTATGACTATTATCGCATGTAAAAAAATATACCCTTACTAATTTAGGAACAGCATTATTCATATAGGGGAAGTTTGGCACCATTCGTACACGGGGAATCTTCATACAGTCACTACTACATCTTGTAGAAAAACCTATTTATTACGACTTTGTGTTAGTGGATAGGCGCTGGCGACTGCCAGTTGTCCACGAAGTTAGCCACACATGCAGCCACTGCGAGCGAAACTAGAGAACTTAAAGTGTTTTGGCATGCTCATAGTAAATATTTTGTTAATGTTTTTGGATCTTCCGTGCTTTAATCATACGTCAAATTTTATTGGATTATTGCTGAATCGTAAGTAAATACGATTAAGATAATAATATATATCCATATTGTGTATTTTTCTACGTGGGTTTTGTGTTAGAAAAAATAATTTTATTATTGATCTTCGGGGCACGTTCGTACATTTCCAGAAAGGGCACATTCGTACGCGTATGTGTGTACCCCCGCTAACAATTTTTATTATTATATCAGAAAATTTAGAAATTTTTTTTCGGAATTTTAAGAAGAAAAAGCAGACACGTTCTCAATATTAATTAAATGAGTTTTCTTGCGTCTGTAAAAGGTGTTTTTAAATAGTAAAAAAAAAAATATTTTACCGAGCCAATTGAAAAAATTCATATACACATTTCGGACTCACAATATTGGAAGTCACAACACTATCAAATGATTATGATAAAGTTTTGAAATATGAATGTTTGCAAAATTGTTATGGAACTGGCTTCGCTGATATAGAATGGATGCACGGTTTTCGTTAAAAGATAATTAGACTCTAAGCCTATTAGTCCTATAGTTTATTACATCGTTGATAAGTTTAAGATTAATGAAAACGATTTTTTTAATTCATTTGTTGTTTTACTTAATATATATGAAGTTACTACACTATGGGCGCTTGTGCACTACACTGAATTTTCATGTCCGGCGGTCCGATTTTTTCAGGTCCGATATGTCAGGCCATGTGTAGGTAATGCGCGCTTGTGCACTGTCAGGAATTTTACCGTCCGGAATTTTACTTTTCTCTATTCCGGACCGGTTTTTTCAGGTCCGTGATGGCGGCAATGAAAAACGTGCTTACGCTTGTGCACTGCTGTGTCCGAGATCCGGAAAATTCATAAGGAATAGGCTTGGGAAAAAATAATCGATTTGAATCGATATTTATTTCGGCAATATTGTTAATTTCCAATAAACTTATAATCGATATTTGTAGTTGATTATAAAATACTATATTTTATATGATGATTTAATATAGTTGGTATATATCACTGCATATGCTTTGGCAAACTCGGTATGGTTCTAATTTGATCAGCGTATGGTTCTAGTATCGATACTTAGCTAGATTTTAGAATCGTATTAAAAGTATCGATAGCTTAAGGTAAGATAAATAAGTGTAGTTACGCATAGACGCCTAAACAACTGAACCCATCTAAATGGAAATTAATATAGTAAATAGACTTAACTTTAAGAAAGATCATAGGCTACATTTCATCGCGAAAAATAGGGGATGAAAGTTTGCCTGGAAATTTGTCATTATCAAATTTTTTTTAGACAATTGATAAGTATAGATAAATATTTGACAACAGAAGTAATAATAAAGAATAAACAGAAGATTAACAAAAGTAATTAAGTGACA